GGGAGTGAAGTAAAGAGCAGGGGGAGAGGAGATTCCAGCTCTCCAGAAATGGTGGCAGGAGGCGAAATAAAGAAGAGGACAGGGAGAACTAATATGTCCATTTGAAGTCATTACATCCATCATCCAGCCATCTATCTATCGAGGCAGAGATTGTACTTTTCTACGAGGCTCTAGATAAAGGACATTGTTAAAAGGAAAAGGTCAATTTACCAAAATCGCAAATAATGTGTATTTTTCTCACTGCGTTTTGCTTTGCAGTTTCACAGTGTTATTGTTTTGTTGTACCCTCACTAATTCAGTTTCCAGCAACCGACAGCTGTTTTCAGCTAAAAGCTCCTTATGATATCCACTCTACACGACCTGCCCGGCAACAGCAGGTTGACTGTATTTGAAAAAATGACTGTTACTTTCGGTTGATGATGAGTATGAGCTTTAAAAAAGATTGTGTTTCCATTGGTTTCCACATTTGGGTTATAGTACATTTCCACCGTTTGCAAAGATAAAGAGTAGAACATTTGTATTTATTAGATATGGTGATATCACTGGACTCTACCAAACCATTACCTTAGCCCATCAGAGGTGTCAAGTAGGTAAAGCATAAGCAAGTTCAATTCCTAATTACCATACAGCAACTACTTTAATGAAAAAGACAGAAAAGCATCCCATATATCCACTTACAACAGCTGTTCTCTTGTATATTTCTATATTGAAAAATGGTCTGTTAGTTTTGGTTAAAGATGAGCCCAGTGTGGACCAGCTAGCCACACAACTGTAAGGTTTTTAAAGTCTAACATATTTGGACAGAGGTTAATGTAACGTGTAACAAACACATTGCTCCAACAGAGAGTGGCTAATATTTAGTAGAAAGGCCTTGTTACTTGAGATAAAAGATAGTGTGGCTTTAATATAACGATCAGTACCTGAAGATCAAGGCCATAGTTGCTTTTAAGGGTTAGCATAGCTGCTGGAGGCTGCGCTGGCTAAGCTGCAGGCTCATTGATCTGAGAGCATCAGAACAAGGAGACACTGCAGCATCCAGCCGGCACTCAGCAGGGTCACTCTGTAATGTATGCTAGGATGTATGTGTGCTCAACCCCCTCCCCCAGCATGTGAGATGGCATACATACTGAGCTCCAGCTGGTACGAGGCCAGTAGGAGGAAAACGAGGGCATGGCGGGCGCATTGGGAGTCACGGCCAATGCGGAAAAACATGCGGGCTGCCAGGTGGCATGAGGCATGTTCGGGTTTGTGTGCATTAGTAAGTGTTTTGTGTGTAAGAGCAAGAGCTTAAAATATCTGTGAGAGTGTGGGAGGCAGGGAAGAAGCACCTGGAGCTATACGAGAACCCTGGGATATCCACCTTCAGAAAAGGGATTTCTGCCTATCAGACATGCACGTGCCTCTACACACATTTTTAAAAAAACACTAAGACTACCCTTATTATCAGTCTTCCTGACTCCAAACTTCACATTCTCAAAATGTAACACATACACACACACACACTTGGCAACCTCCAAGTGTATAGGACCAAAGATTAGGTGGACTGAAAGCCAGCAAATGTCAACGTTTCAGTTTTAGATAAAGGTGAAAAGAGATGAGGACAGTAAAGTAGGCTAGGATCAATACGATAGGTGGACATCTGTATAATTTAAAGTCAACGATAGTGAGAAAACATGAAAGATTTAGTATGAGAGAGTATGAGCGGGAGTTGACAGGGAGAGGAGGAAGCGAGACGAGTAGACAGGATTACTTAAGGCTTCCCTCAGATCATACAAGCCCCTTAAGAATCTTTCTCAGACTGGGAAACACACTTGCAAAACATCGGGAGCAAAATACATGGAATCAACTTTCCAGCCACGTTTGCTGTTCGAAGCTTAAGGTGCATTCGCATGCAACTTGATGAGATGAGGAATGAATGATGTGAGTGAGCAGGCATTTCATTTGTAATTTAAAGCTTTGCAAATGGATTTGTTGCTTCATTTCAATCAAGCAAAAACACACATAAGCTGTTGGAATGGTGAACGGTAATGTTGGATATGCAGTCCATCCTAGTATTCCGAGATACTTGCTGTTTGCCTTATCTCCTTTTGTCACTATTTACTCAAAAAAATCTATCAATATTATCGTCCTAAGCCTCATTGTAATTGTGCTTGCTGAAAGTTAGATGAGAAGCTCGATACCACTTGCATGTGTGTAATCTAAATATGAAAGTACTACTCGCCACTATGCTAACTTATCTTAGCACAAAGACAGGGAACAGGGTAATAACTAGCCGGACTCCGTGCACTGTTTACAAAACGTATGTACTGATTTGTTATAACAGTACGAAAATCAAATTGTAAAAGAGACACATTTCTGTTTCACTGTCATATTTCAATGTGGATTGCAGACACCAGCTTTTTAGAAACAGTCAAATCAGTGATAAATATATAAACAAATACACACACAGCCCTTATTAGTATGTCTGTGATGTGTCCCTGTCATCCTCCCGTTAATTGAAATGTATTATTCCTCCTGCGGCACTGACAGCACAGATACACCATCTTGTGTGACCAGGATCAATGTTCTAAATGGAAATTACAATGCCGCTTCACGTCTCCTGCTTTTCATGTGTCACTGTATTCCCGTTAAGCAAAATAAAAGTTTACAGTACTCTCCCTTCTTTGAGTTTTTTTTCATATTTCTGTCAATGTTAATCAATCTGCAGGACTTTCAGGGGGCATGGTTGCTGAATCACTAAGGAACCCACGTATGGAATCCCCCGGTGATGGATAAGTTTCCGTAGCACAACCATTAGTACTTACTATTTGTTACTATTTTAGAAAAACATTTGCACACAAATAATATTTACTTCAATGTTTGGAAGTGTGCAGTAGACCCCTAGACGCGCATCATGTCTCCCATTCAAATAATGTGTTCTGGTGTTATTTCATCATCACGTGAGATGCATAATTGTTGTTTTGTTAAACCGTTATGCCTAAAGAACATAACTTTAAGTAAAGCTTTTACATCAATATAACACTTATTGGGTATGTATTGGGGTTTAGAAGCTGTGGATTTTGGTTACATTTGATTTCCTTGTGACTGAAGCCTGCTGGGAGGGGCGACATGTTTAAAAGGGGCTGCCCTGGTCAACTCCAATACAGTAGATGGCCACCCGCCATAAAACCATAAAAGGAAGAAGAAGAAGCTGAGTCAGTCGTGGTTCTGCTACAGAGCAGGTAAGAGTAAGACCTCATGAGGCATTGAGGAACTCGTTTTTGTGATAAATCAGGTCAGCATAGTTTTTCCAAATATGCCTGTGTCTCTGAAGAGTTTGAAATAGTACCCGATTACACCCCTGCTGACATTTAATTGGTACATCTCATATTTAGTGTGTGTTGTTTGCCCATGTCTGGCTGGGTCAATCCACCTAAATGCAGTGCTGTTTTACTTCCATGCTAATGTTTTATATTCCTGACCCATGTTTTTTAGGAATGATGTCTTAATGGCACGATGAATCAATCTGGATTAACAGAAACAATGCAAATGCAGCCTAGTGGGACAGATGGGGCTCAGCGCGGTGTGTTTTGTGTGCGTGTGTGTGTGTGTGTAGCTCTGGCACAGGCAGGCATGTGACCTTGATAGTGGCTACCAAAAACCATTCAGCTCATTCGACCAACAGCTACAAACTAAAAAATTATCCGGAAAAGTAACAAACCCTGATGGTAGCTTAATTATGAAAATATATGCTCCAAAACGGAGAATCTTGATGCCACCAACCGTGTTTGAAACCAGGAATCTGACACTGACTTGAAACATACCTTCATCAAACAGATCAAGGCTTATTAGTCACTCTCACGAGGCTGTAAGGTTGTAAATATCTTTCTGTCTTTGTTGTTATTACTCCATCTGTGTTCCTGCAGTGTTACATCCTTTAGTGTGTGCCTTAATAAGGAAAACACTAGAGTCTGCACAATCAAAAGTAGTTTTTTTATGTGTGAACGTACAATCATATGCCTCAAGGTCAATGATATGCCTTCATGAAAAATAAAACTCACTAACAATAAAGTGTGTGTTTATAATGCCACCATGCTCCCTTGCACCTGTGAAAACACGACCTCAGCAAGCCTCAAACAGATGCATTTTAAAATAGCTTATAACACATTCAAGGTGTACAAGTGAGCACAGCAACCTCACCGGAACAAACGACTAATCCAAAGGGCAAAGTAAGGATGACCTGCTGAGGGCATGGTTTAAATAAAGTCCTGTTTCATTACAAATCATCAAAAATACTCTAATGCCAACATGGAGTCCCACCCAGTAGTGACAATCTACCTTGGTGCAGAATTAACAAACCAAAACTTTTAAAATGCCAGCCTTGGTCTTAAAATCAATAACCATTAGGCGTTCCATTGATTTACCAGGGCAACAACTGAATACATTTTAAAGTATTTAAAGTGTATTCACTTTATTCTGAGTGAATACACATGAAAACACAGGAGTAGCTTGAATTACCTGTCAGGAAATTAAGCCTCAGGGGGTGTGGAGTTAATCAAAGGTAAATCCAGCACAGGCCTCATGCAGCGATACTATTTCAAGTCTTCTTTACAATCTTAACTGTATTGCATCTGTTGAAAATGTCTCCAAAATGTCATCTGACACCCTCACATGGGAAATAACAGGCTGTGGTGTTTAATCTCATGGACCTTCAGGGTACTACAGTGTTATTCCAAGCACATTTGCTATATTTAGACAAGAAAAGTATCCATATTATTAGGGTCACTGAATAAAATATGAAATAATGTATGTATTTTGTGAGTCAGGAGAAGCCTAAATAGCAATTGCTAAAGGGCATCTCTGTTGTGGAGACGAAAATCCAACAAGTTAAAAGGGATTTGCTGCATTTGCATATTTTATGTGAATAGTTATGTCTATTTTATCAGGAAAAATCGGTCAGAATTCACAGTAAATGTTTCGTTAACATTAGTTTTGTAGTGCACAGCATGTAAGCTACTTACTCCGTTTTCCTCGCCAGCCCGACGGAGCGGCAGAGAGTGGTGGGAGTCTGCGGAACCAGGGACTTACAGCAGGGGCTCCTCTTGTCCTCCTCCACGGAGTCGGGGCTGGCTTGGCTCGTTTTGGGCGACTGTGGTAAGGTGGGGACGAGCTGGAGCTGCTGGGGGTGGTGGGCGGTCGGCGCGGGAGGGATGGGATGCTGCTGAGGCTGGGCCGACAGACCGGGGATCTGCTGTTGCTGCTGCTGCTGCTGCTGCTGATGATGCTGCTGCTGCAGCTGCGGCGGCGGCGGCGGCTGCTGCTGCTGCGCCTGCTGGCCGAGGTGAGCCGCAGCCTTGTTGCTCACCGGGTGCAGATGGAGGTTGGCGGGTGCCTGGGGACTGGCGCTGCGGTGAGTCGGGTGGTGGTGATGGTGGTGATGTTGAGGGGGCTGCTGTACGTAGTGGTGGGGGTCCCTCAAATTTCGGTTCTCTCCTATCAGGTCCTCCACCTTTCGCTCGAGTTCGTCGATGCGTTGGCGCTGCGTCTGGATCAGGCTCTGCTGGTTCTGCACGATAGTGGTGAGCTCCTTCAGGTAAAGAACGGCTTTCATGGGATTATCCAGCAGGCTCTCCATTACTGACTATAAACGTGGCCGTGTGCCCAGGTATGGTGACTTCTTCTTCAGCTGCTTGTGGCGCTGCGAACCGTCGATGGGCCCTCTGAACGGTGCGTAACCGGAATGCTCTGGCGGCCGTCTGACGCCTCAGTACGCTCTGCTTGGGTTGGGTAGTCTCTCTCTCCCTCTCTCACTCTCACTCTCTCACTCTCTGTCTCCCTCTCTCTCCCCCTCTCTCTCGGAAATGGTGCTGATGCAAGGAGGGCTCAGCATCGGGGGCGGGGTCGTAGTGGTGACGTCAACACGCATAGAGAACAGTAAATCTGTTATGCACGTTTTTTGTGTTTTTTTATAACTTCCATATCTATCTAATACCATGGAAGGCTTGTGTAAAACATCGAGACTTTTCAGTAAAAACTAAATCAGTGTAACTTTAAGTTACGTGCCGTGTTGTGTTTTACCATGGCATTAGGGATTTGACAGGAAGAAAAACTAATGTAACTTTTGTTAAAACACTTTTTGTTTATCTCATGATCAGTCTTTGAAATCCAAAGCCTGCTGATATTCAAAATGGCTGTTAATTGGAGTCGAAATCTAATGAGGCATAGAACAGTCGGCCAAATCATCAAGAACAGAAGTGACCTTAACAACATGCTGTGATTAATGCTGTTTTTATAAAAGCGAAAAATAGATTTGTTTATATAAAACTTTTTAAGAGGATATATAAATCTGATATGACCTTGAGACAGTGAAGAATTAGGAGCACAGAGGTGAGCAGTGTGGGTACAGCCGGGTGCCTCCTTCCATATGGCTGCTTTACAAGCTGCATGGAGTGAACAATGGCTCACACAGTCGACCACACAGACAAAGCTAGGAGACAAAAATGAGTTTCAAAATGTAAAACATAGATATGGACAGGGTTGGGTTGTAACGGAATACATGTAACGGCGTTACGTAATCAGAATACACAAATCAAGTAGGCCTAACTGTATTCAGCTCGCGTTACATTTGAAAAACGAGTAATCTGATTACAGTTTCTTTCGTAAACCTGAAGTGAATACATTTTGGATTACTTATTGGAATTATTGGTGGAAAGTTTTCCACTGCGGTCAAGCCAGCCTCCACTTGGGAAAACACAGTCAAGCCAGCCCGCACGTGATATTGGGGTGCGCGAATATTAGAAGCATTACGGTAAAATCCCAGCGCTTACTCGGTCAATAACAAAAGCACCTATAAAAACAAACCAAACATATTAAATTAAGAAATATGTACTATATAATGTGATCAATATTTATTTAAAACAAACTACGTATAACTACCACGAGTAAATGTAAAATGTAAGGAGTTTCAAAATAAAAGTCCTTTGAAATCTCATATTGAAATCTCATATATGAGCTATCAGCCCTGTGTTTAGATAAGAATAAAACGAAATCTCTCCCTGGTCCAAGACTCATCTCACTGCAGGGTGATAGAAGGACACCCCATCTACTCACCCAGAAAAAATCAGGTGATTCTGATGTGGAGTTTCAAAATAAAAGACCTTTGAAATCCCATATATGAGCTATCAGCCCTGTGTTTAGATAAGAATAAAACGAAATCTCTCCCTGATCCAAGACTCATCTCACTGCAGGGTGATAGAAGGACACCCCATCTACTCACCCAGAAAAAATCAGGACATTCTGATGTGGAGTTTCAAAATAAAAAACCTTTGAAATCCCATATATGAGCTATCAGCCCCGTGTTTAGATAAGAATACAACGAAATCTCTCCCTGATCCAAGACTCATCTCACTGCAGGGTGATAGAAGGACACCCCATCTACTCACCCAGAAAAAATCAGGACATTCTGATGTGGAGTTTCAAAATAAAAGACCTTTGAAATCCCATATATGAGCTATCAGCCCTGTGTTTAGATAAGAATAAAACGAAATCTCTCCCTGATCCAAGACTCATCTCACTGCAGGGTGATAGAAGGACACCCCATCTACTCACCCAGAAAAAATCAGGACATTCTGATGTGGAGTTTCAAAATAAAAGACCTTTGAAATCCCATATATGAGCTATCAGCCCTGTGTTTAGATAAGAATAAAACGAAATCTCTCCCTGATCCAAGACTCATCTCACTGCAGGGTGATAGAAGGACACCCCATCTACTCACCCAGAAAAAATCAGGACATTCTGATGTGGAGTTTCAAAATAAAAGACCTTTGAAATCCCATATATGAGCTATCAGCCCTGTGTTTAGATAAGAATAAAACGAAATCTCTCCCTGATCAAAGACTCATCTCAATGCAGGGTGATAGAAGGACACCCCATCTACTCACCCAGAAAAAATCAGGACATTCTGAAATAGAGTTTCAAAATAAAATGGTAAGGTAGGACCCAAACACAGTGTTAAAACAAGGGAGGCAGATATTGAGGACAAAAAAAACAAAAAACAAAAAGGAGCAGGCGAGGTAAAAGTGAAATCAAATTTTAGACAGAAATGCACTATTATAGTCCTTATAGTTTACTTGTGGTATTTGCTAAAGTGTATATTCTGATTTATTAGTTTTGAATATTATTATTTTGTAATGGATGGTTTTCAAGGTGTACAATTTATGTTACATTTTTCTCGATTGCTAACACACATCTTTTTTTAAATTGCTCACTTTCTCAGAACACTAAACACAATTCACAAAACCACACACCTAAAGTGCAAAACACCTAATTTCTCCTGTGAAGAACTGCACTCAAAACTACTTAAACACTTACCAAATGCAAACTTTAGCACCACATATTCATTCACACTTCTTTCACACTTCATTCATAATACTAGATTGTTTGACCACATATTTTATGGGCTATGCTCTGCATAGAGGTTTCTGCAGAGAAAGAGTGCTTGAGTATACAGAAATACAGTAAATGAATAAATACAAATGAGTTTGATAACATTGTGCAACATGCATCTCAGCACATAGTTACTATGCTTCGGATCTCTCTAAGTGTGATGGCATTGTTTGCCAAAACCAAGTTTTTAACTGCTGCTGCCTGTGCCTCATTGAAAATCCTTAGTCTTCCACCTGCACCTCTTTGTTTCTCAGTCCTTCAGATAAACAACAAAGACATAGTGGTTGGTCAGTGTCTGTGTTGCATAAAGGTAAGTTTACCACAGTACATTGTGCAGGATTTTTGTACAGTTATAGTATGCAACATGCCAACAATTCAATTACAGTAATGAAGTAAATACGTTTCACAGAACAGATATAAGCACCGATATATCATGAATTATGCAGAGCTACAAACTGGTAACCTGTTATCAAGTCTAAGTGTCCGGATTACAGAGGCAACAGTAAATCGGCTTAGATTAGGCTGAACCCTCTGTCCAGCCTCTCTCATCGTCAAACCATGGTTGATATTGGAAGTTTTTCCTTGTACGATGTGAGGGTCTAAGGACAGAGGGTGTCGTATTGTCATACTGATATTCTGTACAAACTATGAAGACCGTCCATAGTTTGCTGAGACAAATGTAACATTTCTGATATTGGGCTATATAAATAAACATTGATTGATTGATTGATAACATTTCATTTGAGAGTATTCTTCTTTGTCCACGTCGTCTCTCCACCTCTATCCCTCATTCTTCTTCCTCTCACTCTCACCCCACCTCTTCCTCCTCCTCTCACTCTCACTCTCAACTCTCAGCCCAGCTCTTCCTCTTCCTCTTGCTTCCATGTTGGCTTCCATTGTTGCTGTAAGAAAGTACTCACCTGTGGTCTTTTTATAGTGCTAACACCCTGATTGACGAACCAACAATTATGCTTTCAGGTGTTTGGTCAGGTGGAACGTGTTTGTTGATCATTGGTCCATTTATGAGGCATTTTGAATATCAGTGTTTTAAACCTGCTAACACGTGACTTAATGTCAGATTCCTGTGTCTCACGTGGAGAAACGTGTGCAGTGGTTTGCAAAAAGTGCCATGTTGATTTGCAAATTGTGTGAAAAGCTGAAAACGTGTTTAGTTTTGGAGATTTGAGCTGATGTGTTGCTCTTTCAGTGTCAGTTAAAATAATTGTGCTTTATGTATACTTTTAGTGTGTTAGCAACTGAGGAAAACTGTAAATATTATGTCTAGAATATAACACAAATAAAACAAAGTAACAAACCAGGAAGGCACGAGAAACAGGAATCCACAATGACAACACGAGGGAATACGCAGGGCAAGACATAGGCTGGAACAACGACGAACTGAGAAGAAACACTGGGGCAGACAGGCACTTATACAGACGAAATTAATCACAAGGACAAGACACAGCTGGGAGGGTAAGAAACACACATGGCCACTGTTGTAGCAATGTTTAATACAAGCCTATTTATGATATTCATTAAAGATCACATGTAAGCTATATGATGTGTGTTACTGAGTTGGGTCACAGAGTTGGAGAGACAGTGGTCGTTCTGGGTTGTCAATGGATGTGTTCATTTTAAGTGAGCTGACACCGAGGATGGGGGAAGTCCAGAGAAGGCCTCAGGTTATAGAGACAGTTAACCTTTGTGTGTTGACTGCTCGTGTGAATGTCATGAGATGATGAAGTTTGAACATATACAGGTGTGGCTCCTGGAGAGAGGGACATGTGACATTTGTGTGGTAGGCTGCATGATAGGGTGTGTGTGCGTTGAACATGCTTAGTGCAAGTGTATTTAAGAATAGGAAGTGAACATATCATGTCAGTGCCCCTACAAATATATCTAATGGTATAGGACATAAGGCGGAGGAAAAACAGTCTATGCTTGGCATCCATTAATATTAATTTTATGTTAGTTTCAGCTCATGGAAGATAGTGCATTCTAGGAACTGGAGAGACTCCACACCCACTTTTTTCAAAAATTCAAAGGCTTTATTTATTTGTCATGTGTACATAACTATAAAAAGAAAAACATTTCTGAAGCAATAACCCTCTACAACTCTTCATCCCTGGCAGAGCAGATAACTCCCAGCACCAAACTTAGTTTGATCCATCTGCTACATACTTACATCGTGCATGCAGTGCATCATTTTGAGAATTTCAAATGTATTCTTGTCTGTTCTATAGTGTGCAATTATATGTAGATACTTAAATTGTACAGTGAATATGGATACTATTGCTTTAACCTTTATTTCTCTTCTATTTTACTCTATATTTGTTCAAATAAAATAAAATAAATTCAAGTTCTATTTATATAGCACATTTTTAAAAGGATTTTTG